GGGGGGGGAAGGCTTTCCATTATCCAGGGAAATATACCAGCTCTGCGATGTCACAGATCCCCCCCCTCACTATAGCCTTACCTGCTTCTCCCACAAAGACCTCCACAGGACTGCTGGAGGGGCTTTCTCCAATGATGTTGTAGGCCGTCATCACAATCTCGTAGCGCTTGTACTTATTCAGCTCTGGAGATGACAGGTGGAAGACGACAGAGATATATGCAGCGAAGACCACCGAAGGGGCACCAAGCCCAGGACGTTCCAGAGACCGGTAACATTAATGAAAACTACAATATGGTAAAATATGTGTTTAAGGTTCTCTGCAGGTACTCAGGTGGTCTATAACAGACTGAGCTTTATGAATGGAGTTCTTGTACCAGATATGCATTAGTGGTGCAAAATAACCTCACAAGAAATCTTCTGAATTGTACAACACACAGTAATAAAAGCCAATTCTGTATTAAAGTTAGAATTCTGTACTGCCTGTGACCATCTTTTACTACATGTAAAAAGTATCATTCCAGCAATTCCTCCTCAGACTGGCATTGATGCACTCTTCCAATAGTCTGGAGGCTGTCTTACTCCTCATACGACAGACGAAACAGAGAGATTAAAGGAAGGACTAGTTAACATTACACAAAGAGATCACTGGATTTGGATTATCACCAGAGTAGATTTGAGTTTTCTGCTCCGACTTCAAAGTGTGGCTCCTGAAAACAGGTCATTAGATATGAGGGACTTACGGGTTAGCTCGAATTCTGTTAACAGTGGGCTGCTCATGGTCTTGAAGGTGCCTCTGGCTGTTGGAGACAAACAACAAGAGTAAAGAATGATTTTTCAGGTCAGGAGGAAAATTCTGAACAAGGCCCACCATTGCTTGGTTGTCACTAGAGTCTTTACCTGAAGCAAACTCTTGATTGAGCTTCAATGTGCTGCCTAACTCATGGAGAAGGTACTAGCCGAAACACATAAATGCCAGATTCTCCGTCTGCCCCATAACAGATCACGCTGACACCACCATTTTTTAAGAAGGGCTCTCTGTTACACAGAGGACAGGACAGACTGTGAGGTTTAATCTCTCAGAAGGACATTTCACTCCCATCCACTCCAATGGAAAGATTGAATACGCCTCCTTGCCTGGGTGGTTACGGTATGTGCATTTAAATGGTTTGAACACAAAGTCCAATTTGTCAAAACAGACTTAATTCACACAGAGGAGGGGTAAGCCGTGCCCGGCGCTGACACCTCGAGATGTGATGCAAGTTCTCCCCACCTTAACCGAAACCTGAACCATCAGTTTGAAAAATGAGCAGGGTTCAGTAGATGCCTCTGCCATAAATGTCCTGAAGACATTGCGGCAATGCCCATAGCTCATGATGCAAATTTTACCATGAGTTAAAAGGAATAAAGAGAAACAGGGCAAGGACTTTGCACATCTCTCCAGCCTGGTGTCTTTCAGTTGAAAAGTCTGGTAATTTTTACCAAACCTGTGATTTTCACACATTGCCCAAACTGCAGTCATAAAAAATACAACTTATGGTCAAAGGTCTACTGCAAAATAGTTCCCCTGCTGGCCAAAGAGAAAGATGCAGGCAGAAGCCAGGCGGTGTCACTCTGCGTCCCACAAGGGAGCCAATCGTGTTGGCGCGTGGTGGAGCCCCACCTGTCATCTCGGCCCGTGATGAGGAGTTGTCCGCCGCTGCCATCATGGCCTTCGGCTCAGGTGGAGAGCTGTCATACTGCAGCTCACGGTAGTACAGGTGGTACCCCAGTAGAACCCCATTCACGCTCTCATCACTGGGGGGCTAAATGGAGTTACAGTGAAGAACAAGGCCATAGCTCCCTGCTCTTACAGACCTTCACAAAGATAAAATTTCAAAAATAAGAATGAAAATCTTCCTTAAATCACCAACGGAAAGGGCTTGTCTGTTCGCAATAATGAAAAACATGCCTCGCCCTCCCACAGTAATTAAAGATAAATGGCAAATGATTGGAGTGTATGACACTGTCAGTATATAATTAGCAAAAAGCATCCTGAAAGCAATTAACTCTAGGCCCATCAATGTGATGATAAGACAGTCAAGCTTAGGGGTGGCGACCTAATGCTTCTCCACTGGTCAGCAGATAAAGGGTTCTAAAGGTAATTAACATCCCATCTGGGAGCACACATAATTAACTAAAGCTAGCAAAATCCTTAATTAAGCTAATAGATTTTGGTATGAACATGAGGCGGAGAAGATGCAAGACATGCCAGACGAATGCTAATAGGACAAGGAGAAACCAGGCTGGTTTCGTGTGCATGTGTTTGCCATTTAATTATGAAAATGTCAGGGGGTTAATTTTTCAAACCCAGATCATTGGACAGCAAAGCCCTATAACTCCAAATCATGTCAAGAATGACAATGTAGTCATGAACAATCAGACAGAGTGAGAAAGTCCATGCAGCAGGCAAAGTCAACTCTGGGGTTTTATGAAGTTTGGACGCTAGTTCAAGTATGGGGGTGGGGGGGCACTAGGTCATACCTGCCACTGCACCAGCACAGATGTTGTCGTAGATGGCTTCATGGCCAAAATCAGTGGGGGCTCATCGGGAACTGAAACACAGTCAAGTTTGTGGGATAAATGAAAGAAGTCATACCAGGACATGCTCAGTGGCACTCTCCATAGAGAGACGTCAACCCAAAGCATATAAAGACAAAATATCATGAATCAGGAATTCCTCAGAAATTCCTCAGTGAGGAGGGCTGATAAAGCCTTATCCCCATACAGACACTATTCCACTGCGGGGACATATTATTTACTTGTGACGGGTCAAATTCCACCTCCCCAACAGTTGGGGAGAGAGCTGCATCTGACAAAGGCCCATGTTCACAATAGCAGAAAAATAAAAAACACTGGGACAGCCAGCATTTTGAGAACCTGATGAAATCTGCAGACTTATGTACTTTAACCCTAATAAGACGTCCTAATTCAAGCCAAAAAATTACCATGGTTAGCATATTATCAGATTTTACAGTCTTATCATTTGACTCATTGTAAAGTTTTTGTAAGCATTACATTGAGAGGGAAAGAATTTGAACACTTAATATCCATAGAATTATAAATGCAATTACTTCTATTAAACTCATTAACTCAGGTTTTGAAATCTTATCTCACTGGAAATGGACTTTTTTTTTTACAGGATACTCACTGGCCTGGGTACAGTACATGGCTTATGATCTTGACCCTACAAAGCATCTTGCACGTTTTTGGTAGAGATGGGCGATCCACATTTTTTCAGTTCCGATCCGATTCCGATACACAACTGCCGATACCAATACAGATTCCGATACAAGAGCTCTTTTTACTTTGTTATACTTTATATATTATTTTTTTAAGTTAGTAAATACAGATGGAAAAAAATGTATGACAAAAAATATTTAATTAGGCTACTACAAATATACATACAGTAACGTACTGTTCCACCTCGTTTGTTTTAAGCATTTTTTGAGGCATTTGCAGTTCAATATGAATATCTTCAAAGCAAGTATACACAAATGGCGAATGCTTAAAATTTTTACACAGTTTTTCTTCCATTGGCGTCAGTACAGTTACACTTTTGTTGCGATGGCAGCCCCTCTTGTATCACAAACTGCAGTGAGTTCGTAAAACAGTCCAATTAAGTTAGCGACTCCCAAATCATCCATTGCTTTGTTTTGTCTCACAGTTGCGTGCGCTTTGTTAAATGGGATTGTCCATTAAACGCTATTCCCACCTTAAAACTTTATTTTACATAGATAGCAAATTGCTGTGCTACTGGTTTCTGTTAAAAGTGTAAAATACTCCCAGATCGTCACGTCTTATCTTACGCTTCTCGTACTGCGAAGGGTATGCGCATGACCTCACAGCAGGCGGAAGTCACTGTACTCACACCCACTGAGTAGCAAAAAAGACTGAGGGGCAGCGTTAGCGTTCGATTTGAATGCGGCAAAAAACACATGTAAAATGGAAAAGAGCTGTCGTGCGATTGATTGCCAAAAACAAAATAAGTAAGTGTAGGACGTGGATCGGTCACGCATGGCCGATTCCCGATCCGTCAAATAGGTCTGGATCGGCGCCGATACTGATATCGCTATTGGTGCATCTCTAGTTTTTGGGTCAGGTGTTTTTGGGTAGTGCCGAAACTCACCGTCCTGCAGCGTCGTGACCGCATCCGTCTCTTTGCTGTAACCGCTGTCGCCCACATCGTTGGTTGACATCATCCGAAGCTTGTAGGACGTGAAGGGCTTCAGTCTGCAGGAAGGCAGAAAGTGGCAATCCTATTTCCATGTTCTACCCGAGTGCTGCCTGGGCAACCCCTGAGCGACCCTACTGTGCAGTGTGACACCACCCAACAGAAATATCCGTTTTTCCATTAAAAAAACAAGCAGGCAAACAGCCTGACAGCCAGGGGCAGGCTAATGCTGAGAATTTGTTGCAAACCAGCTAGAGGTGCAGTCACCAAGCAATCCATGTGTTTTTATTTCACTAAAAGCCAAAACACAGAAAATAGTCAGTAATCAAAACTGAGACAGAACCAAGCACAAAATCATAATCCAAAGAATCAAAGTCAGGTAAAATATTCAAATAACATGAATGATACTAATTCACTAGGCATATGCTCAGTATGGAGTAGATCTCACAAAACCTCATAATGAGCCACTGGAAATGATGGGTATTTAACTGATTACACAAGGAATAGTAACCAGTGGCCTGTATTACGAAGCGGGTTTACTGGCTTATCGAGGTAACTTTGTGAGTAACTTGACGACGTGTGGTGTAACTTCGCGATTAACCCGTACTACGAAAGGTGGGTAGGTTTTAGTCGAGGCATGCTGCCATGGCAATTTACGCTGTCTCAAAACTGCTCCGAGCAGTTTTTGTTCTTGGTTAAGTCGAGGTTTCTGGGTAAGCCAGCCCTTTATGAGCACCACCCCTCCAACTACAATTTCTCCGAAGACAATGCTGGTGTACCTGGAACAATCTGTATGACATTGGCGCGCGAATCGTGAGGGGCTCTCTCTGTTAATATGTATGAAATGGAGCAATGGCATATAATGTGCATACAATGTATTAATAACTGTTACAGAGAAAGTTATTCTGAAAACCCAAGGGGTGTGCATTGTTCCCTGTTGTCCACTGATCAAAGCACACTTCACTACTTCAGAGAGTGCGTTTTAAACTGCCGATGTCTATGCTGATGACTGTATATCTGTCTTAGTTATATCTGTTGTATTTTTGTGTGTGGTAACTGCCTGCTTGGCCTCCCTTGCCACCATCGACTGAGTGTAAATTGCAAGCACTGGAATAAACCTTCATGCCAGAGAACGTATGCAGTGCTGCAAACTGCATGCACTGGAATAAGCCTCCATCCCACAGGCCATATTCAGTACTACAAACTGCAAGCATTGGAATAAACCCCCATCCAACACAGCATATGCAGTACTATGAACTGCAAGCACTGGAATAAACATCCATTCCACAGAGCGTATTTCAGTGCTGCATACTGCAAGCACTGGGATAAAACCTCCATCCCACAGAGAGTATGCAGAGCTGCAAACAGCAATCACTGGGATAAACCTCCATACCACAAAGCATATGCAGTACTATGAACTGCAAGCACTGGAATAAACATCCATCCCACAGAGTGTATTTCAGTGCTGCAAACTGCAAGCACTGGGATAAACCTCCATACCACAAAGTATATGCAATGCTGCAAAATTGCAAGCACTGGGATAAACCTCTTGCAGTGCTGCCACCATCCGATGCAATGATTATCACTCTCAGGCCAGCTGGAAGCCCAGTACATTCCTCCCTCCTGTTAAAACCAATCATACCTCTTTGTAATTAGCTCATGACCAATCATACCTCTTTGTAATTAGCTCATGACCAATCATACCTCTTTGTAATTAGCTCATGACCAATTATACCTGTCTTGTCTATTTTTAAAGTTATTAACCCATTCATGTATTGTCGACTGCACAGTATACGGATACATTCGAACATTCAAAAATGAATTAAAATTCGTATGTAAAGCAATCTGGGAAACAAAGGGGTGTGCAACAGTCGCCATGAGCCCAAAATACTAAACCACCATGTCATTACAGCTGAAAGGACCTATATTATATTAGCTATTAACATGATTTGGCACAAATCACGAAATGTTTTGAAGCGGAAAAATAATTGGTGTGCATCGATGTCTGTGTACTGGACATCACAAATTCTAAATTGTGTTGCATCTGTTAGCCTCTGTAATTATTAACAGTATTTCAATTATTTTCAGAAAACACTTCATTGTCTAATACTCGGTCGTGAGATATTTTAGACCACGTTATGACCATATGAAAATGTATGTACGTATGCATTTTCTCCATCAGCAATACGTTGCCAACAAGCCTGCCTGCATTTGTTGGCTGCAGTGGTATTGGACTTTCTTTACAACGTTGATTTAAACTCCTCATAACCTTGCATAATTAGCATGCAGTCTTCCTCCGTGAAACATGGAGATCGCGCTATGAGTCAAACGGTGCCTTGCGTTGCCGAACGTGCTCCATTTATGTGAGCGTGCACAAACTCCAATGCAGTTAACACCGATTTAACAAATCAACTTCTTAACTGACGTCATAATACTGATTAGCCCCGATTGAGTCAACCTGATTTTGTCAACCTCGCGTTCGCAAATTACCTCCGGGTTAAGTCTAATTTGGTTAAACCCCCTTCGTAGTACAGGCCGCAGGTGATTTCACATAACAGAGGTAGGTAATCAAAACAGAGCAGAAGATTGTAAAGAAGATCTGGACTGGCTTCCAGATACTATCAGATACCTCATAGTACCCCTTTCTATGGACAGCACCCAACACCTTAGTCGTGGTGGACAGCTGGTGGAGGGTGGTCTGCCATATTGATGCATAGTTTCTGGTGTGACGTGTGTCCTGTACGTGCTCCTTTGCTGCATTGTCATGGCAAAGTGTGCTGTTGTCCACAGGGACAACAACAATGTTTGTAACAAAGGTAAAGGCTCCTTTAAGGTTCCCAGATAAAAAAATTAAAAAAAACATGATCCAGGAAGGAGAGATGAAGTTTCACCTAGTGAGTGCTGCAACAATGGTTACACAGAATCTCAAGAACGGATTATACTGAGAATAACCTTAATAGAGTTTCTGGAGATCGGTTTGTAAGTGGTAAGAATAACGATGAGATTACCAACGTTTCCATATGTTCAGTTGCATAGATTAGTGTTGCAAAGCGATAGTACTGCAACCTTCCTATACTGGATATGTTTGTGAAGGGACACGTGGAAGGCAATCTGATACATGGCCGATAGCTGAAGACGGCAAGTTATTGGATATATCCATCCATCCATCATCTCCTGCTTATCCGAGGTCGGGTCGCAGGGGCAGCAGTCTCAGCAGGGAAACCCAGACTTCCCTCTCCCCAGCCACTTCATCCAGCTCCTCTGGGGGAATCCCGAGAAGTTCCCAGGCCAGCCGAGAGACATAGTCCCTCCAGCGTGTTCTGGGTCTTCCCCGGGGCCTCCTCCCAGTGGAACATGCCCGGAACACCTCACCAGGGAGGCATCAAGGAGGCATCCTAATCAGATGCCCAAGCCACCTCATCTGACTCCTCTCAATGCGGAGGAGCAGCGGCTCTACTCTGAGTCCCTCCCGAATGACCGAGCTCCTTACCCTATCTCTAAGGGAGAGCCCAGCCACCCTGCAGAGGAAACTCATTTCGGCCGCTTGCACTCGCGATCTCGTTCTTTCGGTCACTACCCACAGCTCGTGACCATAGGTGAGGGTAGGAACGTAGATCGACTGGTAAATCGAGAGTTTAACCTTTTGGCTCAGCTCCTTCTTTACCATGACAGACCGATCTGCCTGTCGATCTCCCGTTCCATCGTCCCCCCACTCGTGAACAAGACCCCAAGATACTTAAACTCCTCCACTTGGGGGAAGACCCCATCCCCGACCCGGAGAGAGTATTCTACCCTTTTCCGGCTGAGGACCATGGTCTCGGATTTGGAGGTGCTGATTCTCATTCCAGCCGCTTCACACTCGGCTGCGAACTGTCCCAGCGAGAGCCGAAGGTCACGGTCTGATGAGGCCAACAGGACCACATCATCTGCAAAAAGCAGAGACCTAATCCTGAGGTCACCAAACCGGACACCCTCAACGCCCTGGCTGCGCCTAGAAATTCTGTCCATAAAGGTTATGAACAGAATCGGTGACAAAGGGCAGTCCAACCCTCACCGACTTATTGCCGCCCATGCGGACCAGACTCTGGCACCGGTCATACAGGGACCAAACAGCCCTTAAAAGGAAGCCCGGCACCCCATACTCCCGGAGCACCCCCCACAGGACTCCCCGAGGGACACGGTCGAATGCCTTCTCCAAGTCCACAAAACACATGTAGACTGGTTGCGCAAACTCCCATGAACCCTCCAGAACCCTGCGGAGAGTATAGAGCCGGTCCACTGTTCCACGGCCAGGACGAAAACCACACTGCTCCTGAATCCGAGGTTCGACAATCCGGCGGACCCTCCTCTCCAGAACACCTGAATAGACCTTACCAGGGAGACTGAGGAGTGTGATCCCCCTATAGTTGGAGCATACCCTCTGGTCCCCCTTCTTAAAAAGGGGGACCACCACCCCGGTCTGCCAGTCCAGAGGCACTGCCCCCGATGTCCACGTGATGCTGCAGATGCGTGTCAACCAGGACAGCCCCACAGCATCCAGAGCCTTAAGGAACTCCGGGCGGATCTCATCCACCCCCAGGGCTCGGCCACCGAGGAGCTTATTAACCACCTCAGTGACCTCCGCCCCCGAGATAGGGGAGTCCACACCCATGTCCCTATACTCTGCTTCCACATTGGAAGGCGTGTCGGTGGGATTGAGGAGGTCTTCGAAGTACTCCTTCCACCGACCCAAAATGTCCGGGGTTGAGGTCAGCAGCACCCCATCCCCACAATAAACAGTGTTGATGTTGCACTGCTTTCTCACCCGGAGCCGCCGGATGGTAGACCAGAATCGCCTCGAAGTCGTCCAGAAGTCGTTTTCCATGGCCTCACCAAACTCCTCCCAAACCCGAGTTTTTGCCTCAGCGACCACCGAAGCTGCATCCCGTTTGGCCTGCCGATACCTGTCAGCTGCCTCTGGAGTCCCACAGGCTAAGAAGGCCCGATAGGACTCCTTCTTCAGCTTAACGGCATCCCGCACCATTGGTGTCCACCAGCGGGTTCGCGACTTGCCGCCGCGACAGGCACCGACCGCCTTATGGCCACAGCTCCGGTCAGCCCATTCGGACTCAATGTCCCCCGCCTTCCCCGGGACATGGGAGAAGTTCTGCCGGAGGTAGGAGTTGAAACTCCTCCTGACAGGGGATTCTGCCAGACGTTCCCAGCAGACCCGCACTATACGCTTGGGCCTGCCAGGCCTGGCCGGCTTCCTCCCCCACCAGCGGAGCCAACCCACCACCAGGTAGTGATCAGTTGACAGCTCCGCCCCTCTCTTCAGCCGAGTGTCCAAGACATGTGGCCGCAAGTCCGATGACACGACTACAAAGTCGATCATCGAACTGCGGCCTAGGGTGTCCTGGTGCCAAGTGCACATATGAACACCCTTATGCCTGAACATGGTGTTCATTATGGACAATCCGTGATGAGCACAGAAGTCCAACAACAGAACACCACTCGGTGGTGTATTAAGCAACCAGGACACAGAAGCCAGAAGTCCATCTTAACCCCCCTTGGTGAAGGTCACCAAGTCAAAACATGACTTTAAAAATGCTAGAATAAAGGTGGTCCGAGCAATACAACATTTGGCATTTCTGTTAGGGTTGCTAGAGGGGCGAAGTGATGAAGAAGAAGAAGAAGAAGAAGAGAGAGAAGAACATTTACATATTGGCCTATATCTAATGTATAAACAAAAAAAAAGAATGATAAACCACAAATGACGTTCAAAAGAAACTCTTTGTATTTTATTTTTAAGTCTGAGAGCCAGAATCTTGCCAGATGGCTCCACGAGTAGTTCCAATTTAAGGAATAAATTAGTTGATGTTAAAATAAATAAAATTCTTTCTGGATGATGGCAGATCACACAATAAAAATGACTTGGTCACACTTTCATAGTTTTCCAAAACTCTGCCACTGGGGGCAGTGTATTCCCATTTACTATCAACGTCTACCATGCTTAGCCCAGCTGCCTGAGATATTGATTCCCTGATTGATTTTGAGAGGGGGGATTGTAAAGAAACTATGAGAATGAGAAAGTATTATATAAAAATAGGGGAGTAATCATGACTGGGACAAAATAGCTCCCTTCATGTATAAAAATGCCAATTTACTGCCGTCAGAGTAATCACAGTAACACAAAGTGGCTAGAGTTCCAATTGTTTTCTATATTGTTGCTCGCTTTCCAAATCACGGGGAGCTTAATAAACCTCGTCAGAAGGCAGAAAGAGAGAAAGAAGCTGGTTGAATTTATGTAGTATGGTTCTCATCTATTTTCCCTGTGTTTCAGTGTATTGTCTGTGTTCTCCCCATTTTCCCTGTGTGGTCCACATTCTGCCTGTTTTGTCCCTGTTATCCTATGCTCTCTCCTATTCACCCCATGGTATCCCATGTTCTCCCCCCTTCTCCCCATGTTACTCCATGTTGTCCCCCCTTCTTCCCGTTTTATCAAATGTTCTCCCCTCTTCTTCCCATGTTACTCCATGTTCTCCCCTATTCTCCCTACGTTAGCCCATGTTCTCCCTCCTTCTTCTGATGTTACTCCATATTCTCCCCTCTTCTCCCTACGTTCTCATGTTCTCCCCCTTCTCCCTGTGTTATCCCATGTTCTCCCCTCTTCTCCCCATGTTATGCCATGTTCTCCACCCTTCTACCCATGTTCTACCCTCTTCTCCTTATGTTATCCCATGTTCTCCCCCTTTCTTCTCATGTTATCCCATGTTCTCCTCTATTCTCCCTACGTTGTCCCATGTTCTCCCCCCTTCTCCCTACATTATCCCATGTTCTCCTCCCTTATTCCCCTGTTATCCCATGTTCTCCCCCCTTCTCCCCATGTTTTCCCATTCCCTTTAAGAGCTACGTGCACTTGCACCTTGATGCACTGCTATTATCAATTGAGCATTTGCCAGGTAGCAGAAAAGAACATTTCTTTGCAGAGAAAATGGATTTGTTGGAGCACAAAATGAAAGCACACAGCAGACCATCTACAGCAACAGCAGGATTTCACCAAAGCTCCCTGAGCTTTATAAATAATAATGATAATAATAATAATTACAAGAAGAAGAAAGCCTACTGCAGATAGCTGAAACTGCAGATAACATGAACAATCTGCAGACTCCATATATAACATAAGTTTCATGTGCATACATATGGTGAAATATAAATGATAAATTATGCACAGTAAGACATTACCAACAGTAGATACAATAATAATGAAGTAATAAAGTAAACTGTGCATCATTATACAGGACTGTACAGCAACATACTCTGTGGAATGAAAGGGATTCTGATGTTTTAGCCTAATTCTCAAAGGATGATACAGCAATGAAAAAAATATTACATATCAAGGGATGATAGAGTGATGAAAATCATGTTTTTATACCCCTCAAAGGATGAAGGAACAATGAAAACACACAGGCTATAACACATTTTACAATGAAAAATATCACATCAAAAAAATATCATATCAATATCAAAAGATCATTTATCTGTACAGTATATAACCCATAATGAGAAAAATGTACACACTTACAGACGGGATTCTCTTGGTGCACAGGTTGAAACTTATGAACTGTTTCTGGAATTCGGGGTCCCAATGTAGTAGGCAGCCAGTTTCATTCGTCATTACTGTGATTAGCTAATTCTGATGAGTGTTTATAATAATAATAAAGTACAATAAAGTAACTATTACGACTAACCATAGTGACATATATTTCTTAAAATATGTTGATGTACACATTAATGTGTCACATTTTAATCTTTTTCAGCCATTTTTTGCACGTTTCTGCACTGCTGTCCATCCCTGTGAGTGTAACAAGCAGTGTACACACACGGTTATGTGCAGTTATGTGCCTCTTAAATAACAGTGAAATACTTTAGAGCAGTTTTTTGTTGGTAAAAGCACAATCTCTTTCTGCTGCCTTAAGATAGCAATGCGGCTGCAACGCGTCTGACTCAGGTGTTTAGATGGGCAGAGGTACATTTGCTATTTAAATGACCCAGGTGCAGGATGGGAAAATGAGACCTGCGTCGGGCTCATGCTAGTAAAAATACATTTGTGTCGCGCCTGCCGCCGCTTCGTGGTGTAAGATAGGATGCAGGATGTAAGACCCTAACAAGGACAGTGATGATAATGGATTAGTGAATGATTGAGGAAATGGTTGAACAAACCATGCTGAGTGTGAAAAGCAGGGTTTAGGGTGTCAGGGTGGCAGGGACTCACCGCTCCACCTCCCAGGAGGTGCAGTTGTGGCTGATGGCAGACGAGTGCGTGATCCAGTCTCCGATCTCCAGCTCCCGGATCTGCAGGGTGAAGAAGCGAACGGGCGAGGAACCATCCGCACCTGGAGCCCACCCAAGCAGGAGCCGACGGGAGCGCACCTCCGACTGGGGCACGCTTAGCCTCCGGGGGGGCTGGGGCCGCTCTGAGGTGGTGGGGGAGAGCATTAAGTGGGCACTGTCAATCTTTGTTTGGTCCAACCGGTGCCCATTGGTATAAACCATGGCGTGATTAACAATGTATGGCAGGTTTCCCCAATTCCAGTCCTGGAGGGCAAGTATCAACACAGTTTGCAGATTTCCCTGCTCAAACACACCTTACTGAGCTCACCAGCAAATTACCTAGTAGGAGTCTAGTAAGGAGCAGGGAAATCTGCAAACTGTGTTGCATAGGGTCTTCCAGGACCAGAATTGGGGAACCCTGATGTAAGATATTCTCATGGCATATGCAATTCTCATCTGGAAGCTACGGGGGGTGTTCACATGGTATAGTAACATATGTCAGGGACATGTTTATTAAGAGAGAGACATATATAACAGGAGCTAAGGAATGAGATCAGAGATGAAGGTCAAGTGCAGGATTTCTGTACTGTTTCCTACCAAAGCCTGATTCATGAGCAGCTCTCTCCACTTGGCAAGCCTTCCTGGGGTCATGGTCTTTGTCATTCAGATCAGTGACTGGTTAGATGAAGCATCTCTCGCCTCTCATTAATTGAATTCTTGCAGAAAAATTTCCTGTCCAGAACATTCTGCTTTCTCCCATGTCTATTTGTCAGCTTTTGAAATCATATTTTCCTGATTTCAAAAACGCTAAATGGGTTTTTATTTGAGCTTAAGTGTCAATCGTCTAAGATGAAGTAATTAAAAGAAAATATATGTTTGCACAGTGGATTATGGACATAATTGGATCTGTACTGTTGGCTATTGCAATGTGAGGGAGCTGTTGAGATCCCGGCAGCCGGTAACCACCCACCTCGACGCTCTGTGGTGATGACGACGGCCTGCTCGGGCGGCCCCCAGCCCTGCTGAGTCTGGGCGTAGACGCGAAACACGTAGGCCGACTCAGGGATCAGCCCTGCCGCTGTAAACTCCCTGGCACTGGACTCCACCTCCACCGTGGTGAAGATGCTGCGGTTGGCGGCCTCCAGCTGGTAGGCGACCTGATACCCTGGGAAATGGGAGAATAAATGAAAATGCAGAAAAAAGGTATAAAGTCAGTGCTCACTGAATGGCTGACTGGCCCATCTTTGCACAAGCTCCCTCACAAACAAATGCCCGTGTGCCCAACCAAACTCTTCAGCCCTCTGAAGAAACCCCTTTGAGACATTATTAAACCAGTAGCTGTGACTTCTTACTAAAGCTTGACATGAAATTAACAGCTAAATGGAGGTTCACCAACAAGGGGCTGGGAAACCCCCTGCCTTTGGATACTCTGCTGGCTCATTTTCTGAACAACAGCAGGATCATCCTGCCGATACTGCTGGGCTGCGACCCCCAAATGTGTTCTTCCCAGCCATATTACCTTGAATATATTTCTCTGCCCGACACCCAGTGCCGTGCCGTACTTGGTTAGATCATTGCTCATACACCCCCACAGGAATTATTTCCCAAACTCGCCGGCTGTTCAGTCTGACCCTGGTGGCTGTTCGCAGGTCATGGGTCTAACACCCACGGGCTCAGGCCTGCTCGCTATCAGGGGAGTGTGTCTGCCTGCTGCCTGAGGTCTAATGGCTTCTGTTGATGTGGCTGATTCCACTGCTTTCCATGTGACTTTTGTCCCTCAGCTAGTATGTGAATGGCTCTAGAACATGGGTACTAGTCCATCACCATGAAGGCCTGTTAACCTTACTCTTTTTTATTTTGCTGTCTATTTTTTACATTGTTAGATGACTGCATTCCTCCGCTAATCCAAAGAAGTAATTAGGCTAACTAGCATCTCTAAATTTCCTTCAGTGTGTGACTTGTATGAATGTGCCCAGTGATGGACTGGTATCCCATCCTGGTTGTACCTCAGTCCTGTGCCATATGACCAACTGGCATCCCATCCAGGATATATCCTATCCTTGTGCCCTGTGCTACCTGGAATAAGCTTCATATCCCCACATAACTCCCCATGGATAAGTGACTGGAAGCGACAGCAAATCACACTGGATTCCAAGAGAAATTTAAACAGCATTTTTCTGCACAGAATCCACAGTGAAATACATTTTTCAATGCCCCACACAAAAGGTCCAACACCTTCCCCCCATGTGTTCTGCCCTCGCAGCATTGCCGCTGCGCTCATTAAGCTGGTGCAAAGACGCTTCAGCACGCTGGCTTGGGCATTGATTATGATGGGATTACACTGCAAGTGGGAGAAATTCCATTCCCATTTTCCACAGACATTAGCGTCCAATTCAGAATGTGTGTGTGTGTGTGTGCTGCGTCACATTTCAGAGATGGGTGAGAGCGAGAGTGAAGATGGGAGCATGACCCTTCCCCAAGCTCTCTGGAATGTGCAAGTCTGTTGCTGCCAGAGACTGCATGTCCCAGCTTGACTGCAGAAGGGGTTCACTGCCCGTCAGAGTCCTGCATGGGTCCACTTTTGGAGACCTGCACCCGCACGCACCCGTACAGTACAGCACCACACCTGCCGTGCACCCGTGATTATTTCAAAGTTAAATCCGCACCCGCCCAGGCCCATTAACATTCCGCCCATTTCCCGCCTGTACCCGTGATAAATTACACACAGTTATTTTTTCTATGCACCTCTCAACGTGACAAGCACTACGCCTACATGAATTTTGAATTGAAACGAAAACGTTTAACACAAAATCAAATCAGATAGATCAAAGCTATCCATACTGTGACAAGCGTGAAAAAGAGAACACGACGACACGCTTCAGCAAGGATTCAGACGTGTATGTGAATGTTTGTCGAGGCGGTTATCTAATGGTGCGTTCGTTTTTCTCTCGGAACTCGGAAATTCCGAGTTGAGTGACAACACGTCCGACAATCTCCCGTTCGAGCTACCACATCTCAGTACAAACATGGCTGCCTCCATGAACACGCTGCTGTGTGTTGTTGCTTTATATTTTAGCAGATTTGGAGTGAGATTATTTTTTCCGAGAGACAAACAAACAAGAAACACAAACTAGTCAAACCACATTAAAAGCTTTATAAAATATTTTAGCACATTCATAGCAATATTCTTTTTTCGAGAGGCAAACAAACTACAAACAAACCAAAGACACTAACAAGTCTGGTAAAAATCTGATATTGCATGATAGGATACTGTTTACGGTCATGATATAGTATTCTCTAAATCGAACACGTGCAGTTACATTTATAACTATTAATACATTTAACAAAATAAACATTTTTAAAGATTTATAAAATAGAATTGCTGCTGAGTGTGTAAGCCGCCATGTTGAAATTACATCACAGGGGCAACTCGGACAACAAAATCTTGTCCGACATCAACGTCATAAAAGAGGTGTGTTTCCGACAGGAAGTGACGTTTTTCGTGACGTTTCGTGACGTTTTCATCCGAGTTCCGACTTGGAGAGAAATAATCGAAAGCACCATAAGTTACCCCCGAAATTCTGAACGCACTGTGATGATGGCAATTTGTACATGATAGTCTAATACATAGATATTTTTGCAGGCTACAATACTGTTTTGATTGACCTGCTACCCGCCCGTGTGTAATGAATTACCCGCCCGTAAAATTCCAGAACATTAAAATTTGCCCGTTTCAGCAACTATCTGCGGGTACCCGACCCGGTGCAGGACTCCACTGCCCATGCATCTTTATACACAGCCAGAACCTGGGCTGTACCATTATCCATCTGGAGGGGCTCTTCTTTTACAAGGGAAAAAATCATGGCAATCAAACTACTCTCACCATATTGGGTGAGATCTGTTTCAGATCATTTTAGCTGTTGCACTGTGACGGGGGTCACTAGCAGGTCACATGGTTTGTGAGCCACATCCCCGGGATGCACACGGACACTGGATGCCCCCCCCCTTACCCCTTAGTCACCAGTCCTCCCTCTCTACGCGTTACTGTTTCTGAAGGGAAGCAGACACTGTCTAAACCCAGCACCATATAACACTGTGACGCAGCTGACCTTCTGTGCACTGATCTAATTTTTCCAGACATGCCTTTAAATTGTCCAGATTACATCATCACACCTGATATGGAGGTACTCTACAATAACTAAGCACAGTGCCTTTCCCCTGGGTGTCTCACCTCATTCAGCGTCACCACCACACCCACACTAATCCACGGGTACAATGACACTGGTTCTGATGCTGCCCTCTGCAGGCCATTCAGTTCATTCGTATTTAATCACATGGATCAAGGTGATCTCAGCTTTTCTCTCTAACCATGGCTTCTGCTTCTCTCATGCAGGATGTCCTCACTCAGTCTGACCCTCACTGAAATCGGGGGCTATTCATCGCCAGTAGAGTGGTGCTAATAGCATTAGCTAGCTAGTTTGTTACACCTGGGATATCAAATTAGTGAAGCCCAACAGACAGGGACAGACAGGCACTGTTACACTGAACTGGGCTTAGGGCCTAAGAGGAGGACCTTACCCAAGATGATGCCATTGGGCTCCGCTGGGGGCTGCCAAGTCGCCCTCACTTCTGTCAGCCGCACATCAGGGAACACCAGTCTGACAGGAGGTCCAGGGACTGGAGGGGTCGGGGGGGGAGGGGGGTGATTACCACAGATGTGAAATGCGGGCCTTTAGAGTAAAACAATGTGGAAAGTCATGCGACAGCAGCATTTTTACAGCATGGAATCAAGGGTACTTTTCCCTGCATGATAATCTCACATCTAGAATTGTCATCCATATACAGCATTTTCACTGATCCCATTAATCATGTCATTCACCAGGGATGGGGCCATTTTGGAATGCATTTGTCAATTCCAATCCAGACCAGGAAATGGAACTGAAGTTAGGATCAGAAAAAAACTATGGGGAACAGATTTGGAAATTAATTCAAATTTCAGTGAGAGTAATGCCTTGTCCACACGTACACGTGTTTTTCCTCCTCCGTTTTAAACAAAATCCCTGTCCACACAAACATTGTCTTCTAAAATATTTCTTCCACATGAAACCGCTAAAATGTGCTGTCAAAAGCATGCCAAAACAACAGGCGGCATTATAACTCTAACCGTACTGCCATGTTAGCCAATCAGAAGCTTAATTGCCAGTCCTGTTAAGTTGAAAACCATGGCGCACATTCCGATGCCTGTGTTGATCAATATAATGCGAGAGTGACTCAACATTTATCTGTACACATGTAAGAAGTCCTGTCAGCAAGGTTAGCACAAGCACTATTTCGGCTAAGTCCGCCATTGATCAAACTCGCCTAATGTATACAGCAAACAGCACATGCTCTGATGTTAAACGAAGTGGACAACGGTGCACAATCTGACGTTTCAAGCCAAAAATTTTGTTTTCCCTGTCTACATGTCGACGCTGAAAACGGAGTTTCTTAAAATCTTCACCCTTGGTGGAGTTTTGAAAAATCTCCGTTTTAAGTGACCTAAGACGCCGTTTACATGTGGACAAAAACCCAAGACGTATAGAAAAAGGTACGTTTTAAAAAATACCCATGTACGTGTGGACAAGGCATTAAATTCCAACTCCAGTTCTATTTCCTGATTTGGATTGGAGTTGATGAATGCATTCCAGAATGGTCCCATCCCTGTCATCCACAGATCCCAACATTTTTCATTTACACACGTACACGTGTAAATGTGTTAAAAAAAAAAAAAGCCAATGGATTTGAGTTTTGGCACTACGGTGCTGGCAGGATAGTGGTCCATTTCTGCTCCTGTCGTAATTCTGATCTGTCTGAAGGGATTGGATTCCTGCTTGCTGCCTCTGACCACTGTGCTCCACACTGATTTCAGCAACAGCTCCCCCCAGCTTTGAACAAGCGGCTCATGTGCTTTGTATACTTGGATGGGGGGGTTAATTTATCCATTTGGTAACTGAAGAAGCAGTTGTTTAAGCTGCCCCTCTGAACGTCTCTGCTCCAGTACTGTCCAGCCTCCACTGATTGGCAGGAGGACCAATGCAGTAACAACCACTGCCATCCATTTAGATAGTGTTAAATACAAAGTGAAACACATGCTCAAGACAGCCAGCTCAGAGATCAAACTGTGATCACCTACTACCCTCTAAGCTGTGCCCCTGACATATTTTATGTATTTAAGTAATGCCTTCCTCCACAGGGACTTTCATTGCCCTCGTGGAATGGAGGAATGACTACTCCGGGAAACCCCCACATCAGGTCACACCGACATGCTTGCTCCATGGCACGAGTAATCCTGTTTCCTACCAATTCCCTGGGCTGCTGCCTCTGCAGCTTAGACCTCCATTGATAATCTGTTAGGAGTCCTCTGTTCGTTGTATGTGGTTATCAGACAATCCACTCCTGGGTTGTCAATGAGCCGCATTCCCAATCATGTCCCCGCTGACTGATTTCGGCAGCTCATTAATATGCTCACCTCAGCACTCTGAGCAGCAGCTATCACGATCAATCACTTCGCATCCAGCTACAAAATCTATGGGCTTAACTTCAGCACAGTTACAAAATAAACAGTATACAGGCACCCATGATCCCAGCCAAACCTTATTCTCTGGGGAGACAAAAGGACCTTTGTGATTGTAACAAAAGTCTTCCTGAATTAAAATAAGACATCTGTTCCACTGAGAACACTGATCTGATTCAAAGTAATTAAAGCCAATTAAGGGAGCCATGATGCCTAATTTGCTGATAATTAGAATGTAGAGTAGACAGTCTACCTTCATAATATGCAACTTGAAGCATTAAAGGATTTAAAAAGATCTGTAAAATATTTTAGAATTATAGCACTACTGGGATCACTATAACTATGTGGCGATGTTACAGTGATCTGCACAGTTTGACAAAGATCTGTAAAATACTTTTTAAGTTATTGTCTTAATGAGAACGTGTCTGCGATGGCAGCAGTGGACTGGCCCCCAGTTAGTAACATATTCCATTACTATTTTAGCCTGAATGTAAGTGTTTTTTCCCCCAAAATATTACATCTAAATTTGAGGACTAGAATTTAAATATCATTATATACAAACCACAGCAGATGGCGTAAATTATCTGCCTCTTAGCTAGACTAATCGGTGAGAAAGGTGCAAAAAGCAGGTTCAGGTTAATGCATGTATTGACATATAGTTTTAACATCTAATTACATCAAATTACATGTTTATAGATTAAGGCACGTTAAATTTAACCTTAAAATATTATATTGCCAGACTTGCCATTAACTAAAATGTGTCAGAATTTTTAATATTGACTGTCTTCCCCCCTGCCCTACCCCCACCCATAAAAATAACACATTTGTTTATTGGAATGTTTGCTGTTTAATACACTTATTGTAATGTGATTGCCTGTGGTTGCTTTTAAACAGTGAGATGGTGATTTTTCTTTATAAAGATAAGATTTAGTATTCCAAAACTTTTTTAGTTCCCTAAAAATAGTTGCTGAAAACATGGGGGGGTGTCTTATACTAAGGGTTGTCTAATATTCAGGTCAAAATGGTCATTGTTGTTGTGAAGGGAGACTAAGAAGACAGCTTAACCTATATAGAGTTCAGCAAGTTGGCCTTCTTTTGCAGTCTAAGCTTTCTATTTGGCTTTTGCCAAGAGAAGTGGCTGTCTTAACTGGCAGACATTATTTCTGCTGATTCCCATTCTGTCACATGACAGGAAATTTAAAAGGGCAACATCTCAAAGCTAAGATGAACTATGACTGCTGTTCTGCTGTGGACAGAACAAAATGTGTGATTCATATTAGGAAAGAAGAGGGAGTTTGACTGATTTTAGGACTTGATATGTGCAGCGGAGTTTGAGAAATTTAAGACATTGTACTGTCCTATTGTCTCTTATTCGTACAACAATGTGCAGCCCAAATTCCAAAAATAAAGGAAGAGTGCTGCTGCAGTGCCCCCTAGAGGGGTGAAATGCTGCTAAGGGTGCAAAGTGAAAGTCACTGCTCCTGGGCCTGAGGTACAGACCAATCAGATGTCACGCAGGAAGGCCAAAAGGAGGCTGTTGGCCAGTGAACAATCAGCTTACGTACCATCGTCTTTGGAACGCTCCACCACTGGGGGGCGGCTGGGTTCTCCATCGCCGATGCGGGTGAAGGCCAGGACCTGGATCTGGTACTGGATGTACTTGCGCAGGCCTCGCAGTAGCGCTGACTGCATCAAGCTCCCCTTCACCACGTGCACCTGGTGCTCGGAGTGCGATTCTTTTTCCCTGTACAGCACCTGGAGTGGAAGGCACGCAGAAATAGCTAAACCCGTACACACACGCCCAGAAAAGGCACATGTCAAAATGTAATGCTCGCACACACATACACACACACAGACACACACACTCAGGGAGGTTTGTAATTATATCTTTGTGGGGACTCTCCATTCATTTCTGTGGGGAAAACTCCAATCCCAACATAACGATCTTAAACCCTACCCAGCCCTAACCTTAACCATAAGTAACGAAACAAAATATGAGACGTCTGGCATTTTAAATTTTTTGATTGCATTCACAGATCTTTGTTAGGACCTGAAAAATGGTCCCCACAACATCAAAATTATCACATATATTTTTATTACATTGTGGGAGACATTTGATCTCCAAAATGTAATATAAACATAATCCACAAGCACACACACACACACACACACACACACTATAACAGAACCTATACACACAACTCAAAATGTAACAAAACCCGTACACACATATCTCAGAATGTAACAGAACTTGCACACACACACATTTCAAAAGGTTACAAAAGTTGTACACACAATCTTAAAATGTAAGGAAACCTGCACATACACACAGATCTCAAAAGGTTATGGAGCTTGTACACACGTACATCCCAAAATGTAACGAAACCCACACACACACGTCGAGAAAAAGAAGATGCAAAAATGTAGCAAAATCCTACACACATCCACATCTCAAAACGCTGCAAAACCTGTAAGCAATTTCATATTATTTCTGTAGCTGAAGAGTCTGGCCCCTCTCAGCGTAAGAATGGGTTATTTAAAAGAAGTAGTAACTCTGGGCTCTAAATCTGTTTATTTATTGCACATTCTGCTTCCATACCAAATTTCTGTACCAAACATCATTCCGCACCAGTTAGCTAGAAATTCTCTACTGCAATCCTACATACACATGTTCCCACAGACACACTGTCATGTCTAAGGATATTGCCAGGGAGTCTCAAAAATAGAAGAGCGCTAATGCTAACACACAGACCCAAGCACTTCCAACCCACACAGACGTCTCCTCAAAACCACATCAGTGTACATTTTGATGATTCCCCGACAGACCTGCACACAGTCACCCAGAACAGCTCAATTAACAGGCTGTTCTAAGCTACCCACTGCCTGCCGTTTCCTGGCTGGACTGAATGCGCGTGTGTGTGTGTATGGGGGTTTCGTGGGGGTGGGGGGGGATGGGAGCTTCTCATGTCTGCGGTCACTTTTCAATTACTCTCGATGCAGCGTGATGTGACATATGGGACTGAGACTGAGGACAGCAGGAGTAGGATTTACAGTCCCTGTCACCACCGGCGGCCAATCTTAGGGAGTGTGGCTTTCCTGCATTCAGTTTGGGGATGGGGGGGGGGGTCGGTAATGAATCACACATGCTTATTCTTAGGTAAAAATCACACTCCAGCTGTATTCGAGTCCCCCGGCACCGCTGTGCCATCCCTGTACATTCACTCAGGCGGAAACGACTCAAGCGTGAAAACGCGACCTTATAAGTTACAATATCATCCATATGATTAATATCCAGGCTGGTAAGCAATTACTCCCAGCGAAACTGAAAGGAGCAGTGCTTTGATTGGCCAACAATAAGACGCATATTGAGGCCCATACATGGAGTCCATGTCAAGCCGACGGGACCAGCTAGAGCAGATGCCCCCGGGTCCTGCGTAGGCGGAGGCTCTCGAGGTGGTCAGTAATAAATCCTGTTGTCGGCCTTAATTACTGTCGACATGAAGCTGGAGGAGATGCACTGAGCATATGGCTTCACACCTTGCCCTGTGGTCCCAGAGGATGGGGGGCGGATTTTCAATTAACATGTTTGTGGGCCTGTCGATTTCTGAAGTGGTAGGAGCGAGGACATTGGCGAGTGCGCTGAACGACACGCGGCGGGGGGGTCGGCTTGGGAGTCGGGCCAGGGACACAGACCTCAAACGTGAGATAATATGGAGGCGCCAGTCTGGATGCTGATATCCGCCGCTGAAAGTCAGTATGAAAGTAGAGTCCATTGGCCTAATTATTTAAAATGAAGCATAATTTCAATATTCACAGTGATGCTCGTGGCTTCTGGATTAGACCCAGGTTTCTGGGACTGCAAAGTAGCGTCCCACATTCAAAAGCAGCTTGCTAGCAAAACCAGCTTTTGCCATACTATTAAACTTCCCCACTGTTGCTTACAGCCAACCAGAAACAGACCACGCTGGCATGGCATGCTATTGGTATATTCAGTCCAGGGCCTATCTTGGGGATCCTACGGGGTGTAAATCATGCCAGAATAGCAACCAGTCTGTGTTACTGACACGCATACAGTATATTGGTTTACAGTCCCCATCATATCTCTGAGAGACACAGTCCAGGGAACCTACAACTTTTTAAATTCAATTCAATTTAGTTTTATACAGCACCTACCACAACAAACCCCAAGGCACTCGGCAAGAGTGTTTTTTCAATACATTATAAGTACACAGATACAAAATGGTTTACGATACAGGGGGAAAAAAAGGAATATGGAAAAATGCTATAAGACAACACACACAAGGAAACAACAACTCTAAAGTATGAAGAATGAATGAATTATGAATCTCCCCACCCCCAACTTCTGAGCCTGCAGGGAAGTCCACACATGCTATTATATGACATAAACTATCAGCTTAATAAATTTATTTAAAACTGCCCACTTGTCAAGCTGGTTTACCCATCAGTGCAGCCGGTTAAGTGTATCGCTCCCAAACAGAGGGCTGAGGCTCCCGTCTGAGCATAAACACGCAGCCTCAGGACCCCGGGATCCTAAGCTACCCATTTAAACCGCTTTTAAAGCCCTGGGAGTCACCGGCCGCTCAAACCAGATCAGACAGCACCAGAGAGGAGCCCTCTGAGTGTAGAAACAAAAAGCGCACTTACATGACGTTTCATCATGCTCAGAACCAACTTCTGTATGATAATTCACAAAATCTGAGAGAGTGTGAGAGTGTCATCGGGGTATTTACTGAAACAGTGAGAATTCATAAAGAAAAAGAAAAAAATCTAACCAAATTTGCACATTACCAAACATTAACTTCTATAACTGCCAATTTGCAGCTACTGAGTTATTCCACACTATGAGATGCTGTTCAAGCCATATTCCAAGCTCTTCCTCTCACAGAGCATTTTTTGCATACATGCCATTTAGTGAATGTGAGAGCATGTTTTGTGTATGTGAGTGGAAGAGTTTGGCCTAAATATGGCCTAAACAGCATCTCAAACCCCATGATTCAGAATGAATTGAGGGAAAAGTAAACTGGTGACAAATGTTATGTAAATAGGTCTCAGGGTAATAAGGATATAGAGCTCATTTTCCTTTGGAATTTGATGCTGTATATTACACTGTCTTCATTTACAGATCATTTGCTCTGCACAAACTGATCTGTCTTATCTACTTATCTATCCATAGCTACTTATCCAGTACCGGGTCACGGTGAGCCTGGAGTCTATCCCAGGAAACACGGGGCACAAAGCAGGAAAACCCCTGGATGGGATACTGTTTTGTTACATTTATTTTACATTAGAATATGGAAAATGTAATGGTTCTGAGTGTTACGCACTTATTATGAATTGCACGCTGCTCATATATGACTACAGGATAGAATGAGTATAGAAACATACATTCAGTAAAGATAGAGTAGGCTACACGTACGGAGACAGAATATAGACAAAGAGTACCGACACATAGGGTAGAGAGAGAGCATTGAAGTAGACAGAGTATATAGGGAGCATAGATATAGAACACAGAAATCTGCACGTGGTCTTGTAAAGAATTACCAAATTAGCATAATTGTTAGTAGCATAAATCATTCATTATTGGTATCTGTTAGCATTTGAGTGTTTTGATTGTGTTGAGATTTATATAAGGGCTCCTGTATTTCATTAAACCCCCATGACCCTACTCAGGATAAGTGGCTGGAGGACGGATGGATGGATTTAATTAATTTTAGCAGCAGCAGTCAGTACATTTCTACCAACATTTCTCGCTTGTTTAACTGATATACAAGAGTGTGGGATAGTGGCCACAATTAGCATTTAGCCATGACTCATCACTAACAGACGTCTCTGGCCAGCTACTCTGAACTGATCCTGCATAAAAAAGAGAGGATCTGAAATGCTGAAACATAAACCACAGGCATCACTGGTAAGGCAGACTAGCAGGACTGCAGATTCCCTTTCATTGCCGTTCACTTGCCGAGTTTCGCCGCATCACTGCAGCTGTTAATGGAGATGATCTACTCTGCACCCCCTCCCCCCAGCAGCAGAGATACCTGTTAGCTAATGAGGTACAGTGAGATAATGCACAGGTCCCTTTCTCCATGAGGCATTTTCAGCCTAGAAGCACAAGCCTCAGAATCTCGTGCGCCGGGATTAACCTCTGGCTGGGAATGGTCATCTTATTCCATGCTTAGATTTTAGATTCCGGGGGGGGGGTTCACGTTAAGAGTTTAACTCAGCTTCACCTGACCCGCTTGCCCTATGGAAAGCATCCTGCCTTCTCCATCACTTACCCTGATAAAGCCATGCATGAAGACAGGCAGTGCAAAGCCTAGATCACAGGACAGCTGACTGATCTCCTGTATATACATGATCTGCTGCCTGAACTGAAAGCTGTCTAACCTGCAACCTGCTAACAAACTGAGGTGTAGTCTCCTGTATATAGTATCTTACAAATGAACAAAATAAGAAATGGATGATCCACCAGGCTACAGAAAGGGTAAGCTCTGCTACCTTGTATCCCAGGATATGTCCATTCTGCTCCCGCTGAGGCATTTGCCCCCATGTGACTAGGATGCTGGTGGATCCCAATGCCTCTGCCGTCACGTTCTCCGGGAACCCGCTTGGCACTGTGGGGAGAAGCCATAATGTTGTTCTTAAGTAGGGGGTACGAATCTGGTTTATAATGGGGGCATCAGACGAACAGCATCAGCACCTGGGACCTGTCAGCTGAGACAATAGGAATTTTTGTAAGGTGTGTCTGTGTGTGTTGGGGGGGCACAGCATGCAGACAGATTGCTTGCGGGCTGCCAGACTTCACCAGGAAGCCAGTGTAACTGCGATCCGAAGAGACTGTTCTCCCGCTTGCCACCTAGATGGGAAAGAGCCACTTTACGTTACCGAGACTCTGACTTGCCATGATAGGGCTTGAGTGAAGAGCACTCTGTCTGAACAAAGCCCACAGTGGGCGTCCCGCAAAAGGACATGAAAGAGAGGAGTTCGCAGCATGAAGCTAGTGGAAGGGTGATCTGCACTCTGCAATGTCCATCAGAGAGGCCTTTGAGGAGAGACCTTTAATCTGACATGATTTTCAGCCCAATGGGAAAAGCTGAAGGCCTTGCAAAGATGGGGAAAATATTCAAATTAGAAGCAAACAAAATGTTTTTTGAAAGCAGGGGAAAAAGACATGGGCGATCGCATAGAAGAACAGAATTTTGTTCCCTGTTAGTAAAATGAAACAAAACCTCTAGCAAATGATCACAAAACAGTAATGCAAGCAGGGGGCATATTAATGTCATCATTTCAGCCACCTGCAGAGCACAGGCTGTGTTTGAGCAGGCAGGCTGACGGTAAAGTGGTACGACGGATGAGTTCGATAATGAGGTGGCGGCACAATGGATCAAATTCGCTGGGAAGTTAAATATGTGGTTAAATGTGTAGTGCTTCAGAATACAAGAAATGAGGCTCCTTGTTAAGAGACATCTAATTAAGGCACAAGAACACAAGCATTATAAAGACTGATGAGGAATAAACAAGGAGTGAAAATGACAGGGATGGTCAAATGTGTCCCGGGTGTGTAATGCAGCTGACCTTCTGCACATAAAGGCCGGTTTTTGAGTTCCCTGCCTTCTGCAGGACCGATGACCCAGTGAGAAGTTAAGGGGAGAGTGCCCACCTGACTCGCGGGTGCGGCCCCGCACTGGCTCACTCCAGGGTCCGGCCCCGATGGAATTGAAGGCCTGGATCTGCAGCTGGTACTCGGTCCACTCCTCCAGGCCATCCAGGGTGAGCTCCCTCTCCAACCGGTCGCTCACCACCTGGCTCCGCACCTCCTCATGCTGCTCTGCTCTCCAGAGACGTACTCGGTAGCCCACAGTCTCGGGATTGCCGTTGTACTCCGAGTCCGACAGGGGCTGGGAAAATGGGGTGGGGGAAGGGAAGCGATCACATGTCCATCTGGACTGAAAACAGCACAGAGTCTAGCCTCATCCTATGAAAATGGGGTGGGGGAAGGGAAGCGATCACATGTCCATCTGGACTGAAAACAGCACAGAGTCTAGCCTCATCCTATGAAAATGGGGTGGGGGAAGGGAAGCAATCACATGTCCATCTGGACTGAACACAGCACAGAGTCTCATCCTATGAAAAACCTCCTCAGGGGCAAATCAGTGAGACACAGATTGGGGAAACAATTCTGCATATTTAACATTAAGTACATCTTTAAAAGACCTAATTTAACTAGAATGGGAGGCTGTCAGAACGACAGCATTGTCTTCCCCAGACAAACCCGTCACCTTCTCCGCCCATCTGATCCAAACTCATCAACCTGTACAATGTCTAGAAGTGCTGGATGAATCAACTGGAAATGTGGAAGTCCTAGTTGTAGACTGTTCATTCCATTTATATCCCAGTTTGCAGAATCTTTCCCAACCAATTAGGTGTTTACCAGAATGAGGAATTCTTTGTATATGTCCATGTCTTAAAATGTAATTTATATTATCATGTTTTTATGTCTAAAAATTTCTATATTATTTCTTTCTCATTTGCAATATGATCAACATTTTCCATAACATAACAGTAAATATTGTAACATACTTATGGTGCAGACAAAGTCCTGGAGAGACCTCGGACAGTTTTTTCTTTAATGATGTTTAACATTCCCACAAATTGGATATTGAAGCTGCATCAATTCCTACCCTAACATCAAAAGAATTACGCATTCAGCTGAGTTAAGGCGACTCTGGAGCTCTCATTTCAGCCTGCAACTTCTGGAGTTCCTCATGATTAACTAGACAGTGCAGTCTTTCTTTATGGTGGGCAGGAAAATTAGCATGAGTGATATCCCTCCTGAGTCAGTCCTGCTGTCTGCTCTGCCATCACTGATACCAGTCGAGTGAACAGCATTCTGGGTGAGTTTGGGTTTCGGCGACGGCGCAGACTGCGAGCCTCACCACCCATCGCAGCCACAGGCTGGTCTCGCTGGCCGTGCGCACCGTCACGCTGCTGGGGGACACGTCCGGGGGCGCCTGCAGGGTTTGGATGACACGCGAGGGATGGCTTGCAAGGCTGGCTCCCACGATGTTCACCTGCCGCATCCGGAACCTGGGGGACAGAAGGTGCTCAAGCCGCTCGTTTCCATACAGTTTAATAAGGACAACTTTAGCAGTGTAGCATAGTTACAATTCATACCCTTCATTCAGTAAAATATTAATTTTACTTAATATAAAAAAGCTTGTTTCCTTCAGCTACAGTAGAGTTTGGTTAATCATCCAACAACCTCCATATTCTGCACTGATGTAAATACTCATGGGAAGATAACACTCCACACCTTAATTTTATTAATTATATATTATACTCCTCCACTCAAAATGGTTAAAATTCATTAATTGACATCCAGTCACACAATCGTTATGCAACTTTCTGAAATGCGACTGAGGTATTATAAATAGATAGGCATTTACTGGCTGTGAAGAGAGCGACAGGATCCGGGGGGTGGGGGCCCACAGCTGGTGCTCACCTGTAGTAGGTGAAAGGGGTCAGGTTGGGTACCTCCAGCATCTGGGCATCCGGCTCATTTTCCTTCTCATAGAGGACCCTCCAGTCCTCATCCTCACCAACCTGCATGGAGGTAAATGTATTGGGCGGGATATGCAAGGGAAGGACCTTAATAGCTACCGACTGTGAGGTCGGCTGCCACACGCTGCACACACATCCTCCTAGGAAACCAGTAATCACTGCCATCCTAGTATCTACTCCAACAACCCCCCCCCAACCCTACCACAGCTTTTGACAACTTCACATCCTCCACAATATCCCACAGCATTGCAGTTAATAATGTTACTGAAAGCTGACAACTATGCTCAGGTACTACTGGATATTAATGATAAAATGCACAATAGGTAAGATAGGGATGGCATGCAAGGCTGGCTCCCACGATGTTCACCTGCCGCATCCGGAACCTGGGGTAGTAATACTTAAAGGGTAATAACCTTAAAGCAGGGGATAACCCACAGACAGCCAGGAGATCCAGACACACTCTACAACCCACATGTCCCAGGACTGCCTTAAAGGAGACTTATTGAGACACAAACAAACAGACCTAGCCGCAGAAATGCTACATATCTGAATTTCATGACAGTACTATGCTAATTTTCTTCATTATCTGTCATATACGATTTCAGGCTGCATTGTTTGGTTTCTGATGTGTCTAGGGTCTCATGTATGGTGTATCTAGCTGGACATATGGATCTGCTAATTTGCAGAGCAAATGAGGACGTTTGGTTCACATTCAGTAAGGATCCATTTTGTGGTGCCTTCAGCTATTCCTGCTTGTGCTGAGGTGAAATATACAGATATTTTTCTGATCGTGGTGAAGGGGAATAAAAACGCTGTTGGTTTATTTAGAGGTCCTCGAACTAGAGGTCCTGGCATAAACACTCAAGCTACAAAAGAACTGAGTGCATGGCCTATCGAACAAACAGGTCCACACAGGATGCTGTCAGCATTGCCATGTTGTTTTGCACCTAGAGAAGAAAAGCTCTGTATGGATGCTGTTCATTGATTACTGCTCGGTATTTAACACAGCTAATTCATCCAAACTGACTGACAAGCCCCTCATCCTTGGGTTGTCACCCACCCTCTGTAACTGGATCCTGCACTTTCTAACAGGTAGACCTCAGTTTGAATTGTAAACCACATCACCAACATATAGAGTATAAATACAGTGACCATCCAGGGCTTTGTACAAAGCCCCCTGCTATACTCGGTCTTTACGCACACCAGTATTACCTCCTAAAATGGCACCATTATCATAAAATTTGCTGATAATACCACAGCCATTGGAGTGATTACTGGGAGTGATGAGACTGGAGAGAGGAGGAACATCTGGTGAGCCAACTCCATATTAAAGCCCATGTATTAAGAATGGGATGTCAAGTTCATTTGTGAGTAAAGGCAGGTGTCCCAATACTTTTTGTGTGTGTGTGTGTTGTGTGTGTGTGTGTGTATATATATATATATATATATATATATATATATATTAGGGCTGTCAAAATTAACAGGTTAACGTGGATTAATCCATCATCATTAATAATCTGATTAAAATTTTTTACTCAATTAACCCATCTACAGCGTAGAATGATTCAAAATCCCTGAAATGTCTCTGTCAACCCATATCGGGCAGTTTTTGTGCGTTCCATTTGCCCTGGGAACTCGTATTCCGTATCTGTGGACGTGTTGCTACAGAGTTTTATACGTAAAGCACCGCGCGTAATGTGTTATCAATTGATATTGCTAACAATGGCAATTAACCGGGCTATAATTGGATTTCATGATTAGTCAGATTATTTGTCGGTAGTTCGGGCTAATTGTAAGTGAACAAAGATAAAGACCATTTTAAACTGAGGTACCTTAAATACGACAAATTGTCCGGCTAAGCAAAAATCTTGCTTTTTGATATGGGTCCATGGTATTGCACTTCTGTGGCAGATGTAATCCATCCGACTCGTGTTCAAGATGTTTAATAAAGTGCATATATATTCCCATTTTTCTTGAGTCTGTTAGCTCATGCAAAATGAAATGCGATTAATATAGATTAAAAATGAATGATATTTAATCGTGATTAATCTAAATGAATCCACAGCAACCCTGTGATTAATCTGATTAAAAATTTT